TGAGCGGAGCTGCCGGCAGCACGGGCCGCCCAGGCGCTGCTCCGCAGGGGATCCCAGGGGATGTGGCCTCGTAGTCCTCGGCATCCCAAAGTGCTGGGGGATGCTGAGTCCAGCCCTGGGGTCCTGTGGGCATCCGCAGCCAGGAAAATCATGTTATTGAGCAGGGCCCACTCTGAGCCCGTGGGAACGGTGCCGGAGCCGAGGCGGAGTGGAGAGGGGTTGTGTTTGGGGTGTGCTAAATTCCGGTGGCCCATGGCCACGTGGTCTCCATGCTGCAGGACGGGCAGCGTGGGTGGGAGGCTGTCAGCGTGGCGTGCCTGCCCTCTGCCCACTGTGGCTCCGGCATTGCCCACGGCAGAGCTGGAGCATTGCCCGCCCCGGCACAGGGCACGGCGCCGGCAGGCTGCGCAGCTGCACGAGCCGTGCCGTGGAGGGCACTCCAGGCAAAATGTGTGGGGAAAGTACAGGAGTTTCTGTAGCCAGCAGCACACCAGGGAGCGCAGCGTGGTGCTCAGAATTTGCCTCCCAGCCCGGAGAGCCAGGCACCTCACTCCAGCTGTGCTGGCGAGGAGCAGCCGCCTCTGGCACGGGCCCAGCTGAGACTTGCCCTCCCGCGCTGGCATGGGCAGGGCTGGCGATGCCACCTGCATCCCTCCCTCGCACACCCACACCCTCCCACTGCTCTGTTCCCCTGGGACCGGAAAAAAAAGGGAGTCTAGGGAGCCTGGCCAGCAGCCAAGGGGCTTTATCGCCGACAAGGTCACTCGGCTGGTCTCCCACAGGGTAAAGCAGCAAGCCCCCCCAGAGACGGGGAGGCCAACCAAGAGCGCTGGCTGGGCTGCGCACTGTGCCCACGGGGCTCTGAGAGTTGCAGCCGCACGGGGCATCGGTCACACCATGATGCCAGGGCTGTGCCGGCTCAGCGCCAGAGCTGAAGAGCAGATGCTGAGCAGCACAATGTCTCTGTCACCTCCCACTGGGGACACCGCCATCACCCCCAGGGATGTCCCCAAGGTCTTCGGGGTGTGGAGTGACATGTTCCAGCACCATCGTCTAGCCAGCCCCACAGTTGGGGATCTCCCCCATTCCCTGACTGGCTGGACAGGTCAAGGTATCCGCTGGGTGCTGCCATGCAGGTGCCACCCATACCTTTTGTCCTGCCCTCCCTGCATACCTCTCCCTGTCCCCTTGTCACCCAGGCTCAATACTGAGCCAGCACTGCCCCGTGGCCCCGCTCTCTCCCTGGCAGCAGCTGTGGCCATTTCCCATCCCCACCCTGGTCCCGCCCGGGCTTGGATGCTGGTTTTGCTCTGCTCGCTGTCCCTCCTGCAGGGCAGTGGGGAGCCCCCTGGTCATGGACCCCAACAGCATCTGCCG